CCGCAAGCGTCACCCACACTCATTTCGGCACACCCCTCACATGTTTCATGGTTCCCTTTGCTCCAACGAAGGCCCCAGTGCCACCGCCCGCGTGTCACCCACGCCCATTCTCGCACACCCCACCGAAGGCGCCAGTCGCTGCGTTCGCATGCGCCCACCGCGCCCATTTCGGCACACCCCTCGAACGTTTCGCGGCACCATAGGGAGCTCCACCGACGGCCCTAGTGGCTGCGTTCGCATGCGTCCACCGCACCTATTTCGGCACACCTCTCACGCGTTTTGTGGCCCCATAGGGAATTCCAACGAAGGCCCCAGTGGATGCTTTCGCATGCGCCCCCCACGAGACAAACTTTGGCACACCCCTTACACGGTTCGTGGCCCTATAGGGAGCCACGTACAACGACGGTGCTCACAATTGCATATGGTTGGGTCCTTCGCCATCTTTTGTGTAAGTACTCCGACGGAGAGACCTCACATGAAAATCCTTTCGGCTAACCAGGAAATCACATTCACTGTCGTGCGGGCCCCATAGGGAATGGCCCCCGCCTGAGACTTCCTCACAATTCAGTCACAGACGAGGCTCCCGCCTGATACTCTCCCCATATCTATACGACCACCCTTCGGGTGATAAGGAAGTTCGGGGGGGGGAACCAACGTCTCACTGGATCTGTCTCACTATCGATCTCACTATCGATCTCCCTATCGGTCTCGCTCGATCGATCTCGCTCGATCGATCTCACAATCGATATCACTCGATCTATGTCATTCGATCGATCTGGCAATCGATATGACTATCGGTCTCACTCCCCATCTCACTATCGATCTCACAATCGATCTCACATTCGGCCTCACCATCGATCTCACTATCGACCTCATTATCTGTCTCGCTCGATCGATCTCACTCGATCGATCTCACAATCGATCTCACTCGATCTACTTCATTCGATCGATCTCACAATCGACCTGACTATCGGTCTCACTACCAATCTCACTATCGATCTCACTATCGATCGCACAATCGATCTCACATTCGGTCTCACTGTCGACCTCATTATCGATATCACAACCGATCCCACAATCAACGTCATCATCATCATCATCATCAACGTCATCGTCACCAACGTCATCAACATCATCATCATCGGGACACCACCATCATCCAACTATCATCTCATCATCAACATCATCACCATCATCATCATCACCATCATCACCACCATCGGGACACCATGGTCGTCACCATCATCATCACTAACATCATCATCATCATCATCGGGACACCATCGTTATCATCATCATCATCATCATCATCGGGACACAACCACCCTCATCATCTCACCATCATCATGAACAACATCATTGACATCATCAGCACCATCAGGACACCATCATCATCATCATCAACCTCATCATCAACATCATCATCATCATCATCATCATCATCGGGACACCATCAACATCATAACCATCAGCATCATCACCATCATCATCATGGCACCATCATCATTATCAACATCATCAACATCATCATCAACATCACCATCATCGGGCCACCATTATCAAAATCATCATCACGCCATCATCATCTTCATTATCAACATCATAATTATCATCGGGACACCATCATCGTCATCACCATCATCAACATCATCACCATCATCATCGGGACACCACCATCATCATCAGCATCATCATCAACAACATCATCATCATCAACCTCATCATCATCATCATCATCATCATCATCATCATCATCATCATCGGGACACCATCATCATCCAACTATCATCTCATCATCAACATCATCATGCTCATCAACATCATCATCATCATTATCATCATCATCATCGGGACACCAGCGTCATCACCACCAACACCATCATCATCATCCTCAACATCGTCATCATCATCATCATCATCATCATCATCATCATCATCATCATCATCATCATCATCATCATCATCATCATCATCATCATCATCATCATCATCATCATCATCATCATCATCATCATCATCATCATCATCATCATCATCATCATCGGGACACCGACGGGACACCGGCGGGACACCGCGGGCCACCGGCCCCCGGAAAAAAATCATTTGGTCTGGCCGCGCCTCAGCCGGAGGCGGGACACCGGCGGGACACCGCGGGCCACTGGCCCCCGGAAAGGAATCATTTGGTCCGGCCGCGCCTCAGCTGGAGGAGACTTTCTTCTCGCGCGCCCACGCAGCTTCGCCTCGCCCGCACGCACGGCACGCACGAACACGAAACCGAAACCGATTTCCCGGCAGGGGGGCTCTCCGTTCCACTTCGACCCCACCCCCTCACCTCCGATTCAAGCCTCAAGAGCTCAAAAGTGACGACAATTACAGGTTCGAGGATGACCCGCTCGGATTGAAAGCATAGAGTACGGGCCCCATAGGGAAAGGGCTCCCGCCTGATACTTCCCCCATAGTCAGGCCCCAGGAGCCCAACAGTGACGACAATTACAAGTTCGAGGATGACCCGCTCGGATTGAATGCGAGCCCCATAGGGAGGGGGCACCCGCCAGAGACTTCCTCGCAATTCACTCACAAACGAGCCTCCCGCCTGATATTTCCCCCACAGTCAGGCCTCAGGAGCCCAAAAGTAAGGACAGGTTCGAAGATGACCCGCTCGGATAAAAAACATAAAATGCGGGCCTCACATGGAGAGGGCTCCCGCCTGAGACTTCCTGGCATTCACTCACAGACGAGCCTCCGGCTAATACTTCTCCTATATTCAGGCCTCAGGAGCCCAACAATGACGACAGTTACAAGTTCGAGGATGACCCGCTCGGATTAAAAACATAAAAATGGGAGCCCCATAGGGAAGGGGCTCCCGCCTGATACTTCCTCACAAAGCACTCACAGACAAGCCTCCCGCCTGATACGGCCCTCGTAAGGCCTCAGGAGCTCAAAAGTGGCGACACTTAAACTTCGATGATGACCCGCTCGGATTACAAACATGAGAACAGGCCCCATCTTGGCGGGCCCCATAGGGAGAGGGCTCCCGCCTGAGACTTCATCACAATTCACTCACAGACGAAGCTCCCGCCTGATACTTTCCCCATCTTCAAGCCTCAGGAGCCCACAAGTGAGGTCAATCACAGGTTCGGGGATGACCCGCTCGGATTACAAACATGAAAGCGGGCCCCATAGGGAGAGGGCTCCCGCGTGAGACTTCCTCGCAATTCACTCACAAACGAGCCTCCCGCTTGATATTTCCCCCAGAATCAAGCCTCAGGAGCCCAACACAAGTAACGACAATTACGAGTTCGAGGACGACCCGCTCGGATTAGAAACGTGAAATGCGGACCCCATAGGGGGAGGGCTCCCGCGTGAGACTTCCTCACAATTCACTCACAGACGAGGCTCCCGCCTGATACTTCCCCCATATTCTAGCCTCAAGAGCTCAAAAGCGACTACAATTACAAGTTCGAGGTTGGCCCGCCCGGATTTTAACTAATGAAATGCGGGCCCCATTGGGAGGGAGCTCCCGCCTGAGACTTCCTCACAGTTCATTCTCAAACGAGCCTCCCGCCTGATACTTTCCCCATATCCAAGCCCCAGGAATCCCAAAATGACGACGGTTACAAGTTCGAGGGTGACCCGCTCGGGTTAAAACATAGAATGCAAGCGGGGCCTCCCGCCTGATACTTCCCCCAGAATCAAGCCTCAGGAGCCCAAGCGTGACGACAATTACAGGTTCCAGAATGGCCCGCTCGGGTTCAACACATGAAATGCGGGCCCCATAAGGAGAGGGCTCCCGCCTGAGACTTCCTCACAATTCACTCACAGACGGGGCTCCCGCCTGATACTTCCCCCATCTTCAAGCCTCAGGAGCCAAAGATGCAGACACTTGCAAGTTCGAGGATGACCCGCTCTGGTTCAAAATATGAGATGCGGGCCCCAGAAGGAGGGGGCTTCTGCCTGAGACTTCCTCACAATTCACTCACAGACGGGCATCCAGCCTGATATTTCCCCCCCCGATATTCAGGCCTCAGGACAACGATGCTGAGTGATGAGAAAGAGAGAGAGAGAGAGAGAGAGAGAGAGAGAGAGAGAGAGAAAGAGAGAGAGAGACAGAGAGAGAGAGAGAGAGCGAGAGAGAGAGAGAGAGAGAAAACAAAGAGAGAGAGAGAGAGAGAGAGAGAGAGAGAAAGAGAGAGAGAGAGAGAGAGAAGAGAGAGAGAGAGACAGAGAGAGAGAGAGAGAGAGAGTGTGTGTGCGTATCTGTGTGATGTGCGACTGAGTATGATGATGGCGGTGGTGGTGATGCTGACGGTGATGATGATGATGATCGATGGCCGATGGTGATCGATGGTGGGTGAATCTGATTCTGATGGTGGTGATGATGATGATGACTGATGGTGATGATGACCGATGATGGGGTGAATGCGTGGGTAAGGCGGAGAGTGGGAGGGAGGTTCCTGCGCGGAGGGTGTCCAGAGAAAACAAGAACCCCACTTTGGATGTGCGGAAAAACACTGTGGACCCCCAGATGTCTAGACCACTTCCACTGGACCTTTTTCTTCATCCCGAGCCGTTTTTTACTTGGGAGTCCCGAAACGGTGCGGTGACAGACCGTGCGGTGACCTCGAGATGCCCCAAGACCTCACCGCACGGTCCGTCACCGCACGGTCTGGGACCTCGGAGGCCCCTGTCGCCCGAGACCTCCTCGGAGAACGACCCGAGTCCCAAAACCGTGCGGTGACCCCGAATCCCCACCGACTCACCGCGCGGTGTGGTCACCGCACCGTTTGGGGGCCCCCGATTTACAATCCTGGGTCCCAATGAGGGCCCCAGGGGGCCGAACATGAATAAGCACATCCCGCCGGTTTTTTGTTCAAATGAAAAGATGTCAGGGTCCTCCTCGGCCCTCCTCCTCCTCCTCTCTTCCTCCTCCTCCTGCTGCTCCTCCTCCTGGCAACGCCTTTCGACCCTTGAATGGGGGTGGGAGTGAAGCGGGGCGTCTCCGCGAAGGAGGCTGTCGCCCGTAAGCACGGGGTCCCTGTGCATCGAGCGGAGCATGGTCACGTCCTCAGCCGCGCGCGGGGGAGAGTGTCTTGAAACGGTGCGGACGGCAAATTTTTGCCCATTTCCTGCTTCTGGGAGCCCTCATATGACCCTGGGACTGTCAAACAACGACTCGGCATGACAAGCCAGCCCTGGCGAGTGCTTCGAGACGACAGGTGGCGCGAGGGGGGCGACCTTCTGCGGCGGGGGGCCTCTGCCTTCCTGGAAGGCCACCCCCGTGGGCTTCCCGAGAATGGGCCCTCTCCGCCTTCACGTCTTCACGTCTTCGTCGCGGGGCCGTCCCCCCCGCCCCAGAGGCGCCTCCCTCCTCCTCCTCCTCCTCCTCCTCCTCCTCTTTTCCTCCTCCTCCTCCTTTTTACGTTAGACTAACATTAGGTGTGATGCCTGTTGCGTTCTTCCTCCTCCTCCTCCTCCTCCTCCATCTTCTCCACCTGGCGACTGTCGGCAATTGTGTCTCCAGACGCTGCCGCTTCCACCCCCCAGGGGCGTTCACCCCTGGGGGGGTCAAACTGGCGAGCCAGGCGACTGGTGTGCCCGGCTGGGTAGCTGAAACATAGGAAGCGAAACAACGCACAAACAGACGAAACGAAACGAGAGGAGAGAGGAGGGAGGACGAGGCGAGTAAGCTGGAGGAGGGGAGGTGAATAGAGAGAGGTTGCGGCTGCTTAGCCGCACACGCCCAGGCGGATGCGCAAAGGCCTCTCTCTCAGCCTGCCCATAGGGAACCCCGCTTGGCGTCCATCAGTCCTGCGACGGGGGCCCTCACCTGCAAAGCAAGCGTAGGGTTCTCGAGCGCAGGACTGGTGGCGGCCTACGGGGGTTCCACTGGGCGTGGCGGAGGTTTGTGCTTTCCATGGCGGCGGCCACATCGGGAGGGCGGTGTGGCGCAGGTAGTATCCCCCCAACCCTGAGCCCTGATGTAATCCCGCCCCCGAAGCTAGTTAGAGTGTGCAGGAGGGAGCCAAAGTGCATGCGGAGCTGCTGGCCCCGGCTGCTCTAGCCAACGCCAGGGCGGCCAGCCGTGTACTGGGTAGGCAGCTGAGGCGAACTGCGGTTAAATGGTTGGGAGGTAAGCGGTAGATAATCAACGGAGTGACCTGCTGGCGGCGGCAGCTGAGCAAAATGCTTGGCCTGTAGCGCTGTTTCAAAGCAGTTCGCCCTGCCGGCGGTTCCTTGCCCGAGTTAGCGAACGTTGTGAGGCTTGCGATTGCTGTGGCTGTGCACGGATGTGTGGCTCTGCCTGTGCAGCTGGTCTGTTGTGCATCTTCACGCCCGTTCCACCACCTCCCCACATAACCAGTACCCTCAATAGCTAGAGTGTGCAAAAGCCTGTGGCAAGCGAAGCTGCTGGCCGCGGCTGCCCTGGCCAACGCCAGGCCGGCCAGCCATGTCCTCAGTAGGTAGCTGAGGCGTGCGGCGGTTAAGTGAGGAAGGCAACGGCAGAATCGCGAACCATTGCGATGCTGCGATTGTGTTGCTGCGTGCGGACTTGTGGCTTTGCCGTTACAGCTGGGTCGATAAGTGCGGGTGGAGGAGGAGGAGGAGAAAGAGGAGGAGGAGGAGGAGGAGGAGGAGGAGGAGGAGGAGGAGGAGGAGGAGGAGGAGGAGGAGGAGGAGGAGGAGGAGGAGGAGGAGGAGGAGGAGAGGAAAGGAGGAGGGAAGAGGGAGGAGGGGGAACGCAAAATGGTCTGTGCGGCAGATGCGCTGCGAGTGCGGCGCGGCCGCACTCCTCGGAGGGAGATGGCGCGAGGGCCTCGCCATCTCCCCGCAGGACCCTCCGTGGGAAGGACCGCAGTCCAACCAGAGGAACCCTCCCCCGCCGAGGCAGGCGACGAGGAGGAGGATCACGATGGGGAGGAGGAGGAGGAGGAAGAGGAGGAGGAGGAGGAGGAGGAGGAGGAGGAGGAGGAGGAGGAGGAGGAGGAGGAGAAGAGGAGGTGGAGGAGGAGGAGGAGGAGGAGGAGGAGGAGGAGGAGGAGGAGGAGGAGGAGGAGGAGGAGGAGGAGGAGGAGGAGGAGAAAAGGAGGAGGATCACGATGGGGAGTTCCAACAGGGTGGACTGGGGCCTATCCAGGGGTGCTCAGTGGGGAGGCGGAGGGTCGCGCCATCCGCACTGGCGGCCGCGGTAGTTATTCGTCCGCAGCCTCCCCATGTGCTCACCGAGTGTACATGGCACGCGCCGCCCCGTCCCACGGTTAGAAGGGTGAACGTTGTTGCGGGTGTAGGTAAGGCGAGCGTAAGAGGGTGGCTGGATCTGGATCAGCGTGGCTGTGCAGTCTGCATGCGACGGTGGAGCCTGTGGTATCTAGCAATGCCTGCGCGCCGGGGCCGCTGTGGTACTAGCCAGAAATCCCGATGTCCCGTCGCCCCCATGAATGTAATCCCGCCCCTCCGTTTTCGAGCCAAATTAGCCTGGCGAAGGACCCAACCATATGCAGTTGTGAGTACCGTCGTTGTATGCACCCCATTCGGAGGAGCTCCTTATAAGGCCACGAAATGTGGGAGGTGTGTGTGTGTGTGTGTGTGCCGAAAATTGTCCGGTGGTCGCATGCGAAAGTAGCCACTTGGGTTCGTCGGTGGAGCTCCCTATGGGGCCACGAAACGCGTGAGAGGTGTGCCGAAATAGGTGCGGTGGGGCCACTGGCGCCTTCGGTGGAGCTCCCTCTGGGGCCACGAAACGCGTGAGGGGTGTGCCGAAACGTGCGTGGGTGACGCATGCGTGCGGTGGCACTGGGGCCTTCGGTGGAGCTCCCTCCCTATGGGGCCACGAAACGTTTGAGGGGTGTACTGGAATGGGTGTGGGTGACGCATGCGGGCGGTGGCACTGGCGCCTTCGGTGGAGCTCCCTATGGGGCCACAAACGCGTGAGGGGTGTGCTGGAATGGGTGTGGGTGACGCATGCGGGCGGTGGCACTGGCGCCTTCGGTGGAGCTCCCTATGGAGCCACGAAGCGCGTGAGGGGTGTGCTGGAATGGGTGTGGGTGACGCATGCGGGCGGTGGCACCGTGGCCTTCGGTGGAGCTCGCTAGGAGGCCACGAAACGTGTGAGGGTGGTGCCGAAATGGATGTGGGTGATGCATGTGGGCGGTGGCACAGGGGCCTTCGGTGGAGCTCCCTATGGAGCCACGAAGCGCGTGAGGGGTGTGCTGGAATGGGTGTGGGTGACGCATGCGGGCGGTGGCACCGTGGCCTTCGGTGGAGCTCGCTATGAGGCCACGAAACGTGTGAGGGTGGTGCCGAAATGGATGTGGGTGATGCGTGTGGGCGGTGGCACAGGGGCCTTCGGTGGAGCTCCCTATGGGGCCACGAAGCGTGTGAGGGGTGTGCCGGCATGGGTGTGGGTGAGACATGCGGGCGGTGGTACTGTGGCCTTCGGAAGAGCTCCCAAAAGGGCCACGAGACGCGCGAGGGGTGTGCCGGAATGTGCGTGGGTGACACATGCGGGCGGTGGCACCGGGGCCTTCGTTGGAGTTCCCCACAGGGCCACGAAACTTCTGAGGGGTGTGACGACATGGGTGTGGGTCACGCATGCGGGCGGTGGCACCGGCGCCTTCGGTGGAGCTCCCTATGGGGCCACGAAGCGTGTGAAGGTTGTGACGACATGGGTGTGGGTGACGCATGCGGGCGGTGGCACTGGCGCCTTCGGTGGAGCTCCCTATGGGGCCACGAAACGCGTGAGGGGTGTGCTGGAATGGGTGTGGGTGACGTTGCGGGCGGTGGCACTGGGGCCTGGGGCATTCGGTGGAGCTTCCTATGGGGCCACGAAGCGTGTGAGGGGTGTGCCGAAATGGGTGTGGGTGACGCATGCGGGCGGTGGCACAGGGGCCTTCGGTGGAGCTCTCTATGGAGCCACGAAGCGCTGTACTGGGTGGGCGAAACGCAGGGAGGAAGGAGGATGGGGAGGAGGAGGATGGAGGAGGGGGAAGGAGGAGGAAGGAAGGCGGAGACGTGGGGCGCTGTTTCTTCAAACGAGGACCCAACACCACAGGATGGTTGGGAAAAACAGCGGGTGGGGTAAGGTTGGTGGGGCAAACGGCGGGGGGGGCAAACGGCGGCGAAGGGCGAGTGGATGTTGGTAGAGATCCGTCTCGCTGGTGCACGCTTGGCATCGCATACGTGGGTACGAAACCTACTAATGTGGACCCACTGCGTAGCATAGCGTGCCGTTGACGCAGCCGCCGTAGTGCAGGCCATGGTGTGAGCACAGGCGCATGTGCCAATACGATCGGCGGGGTGCTGCTATCGCCCGATGTGTGGTCTGCGTAGCATGCGTGGGCGAGAAACCACTGCTATGGACCCAATGCGTAGCATAGCGTGCCGTTAGTGTCGCCGCCGTGTGTAAACCATGATGTGAAGGCCGTCGCGTGTGCCAGTAAGAGAAGTGGGATTGCTGCTATCGTCCGATGGGTGGTCTGCATCGCATGAGTGGGTGGGAGGCCACTGCTGTGGACCCGTTGCGTATCATAGCGTGCCATTCGTGTAGCCGCCATAGCGCAGACCATAGTGTGGGCGTCGTCGCATGTGCCAGCGGGAGAGGTGGGAATGCTGCTATCGCCCTACAGGTAGAAAGTTGGAGATTCGGATGGGTGCCCCCAGAGGTCTTCGGGCAGTCTTGGTCCCCCACAACCCACCGCCGCCTGCCAGGTTTTGCCCTCGACACTCCAAAGTCGAGGGGGGGAGTTGTTCTGACGCTCTGGACCCTGCCAAAGCCTCCGAAGACCTCCAAGGGCCTCCGGGGATGAGGGGCAAGTGCGGGGAACATCGACCTGAATTTGCGATACATCGCCGATAGATAGGCGATATGCCCCCGATGGCGAACCAATCGGCAATCGGGCCAATATCGGCGATGAATGGGCGATTGGGGGTCGATGCGCCCCCTGAACCTATCCCCCCTTTGTTGCCCCTGAGGGGGCCAGGGACCACGGCGGGAGCAGAATCTAGCACTTGCACTCCCCCGTCTTGCCACCGTCACGACTGGGCGTCGGGGTCGGAGGGGCCGGCGCGCTCCGCGCGCGAAGTGGGCCGATGGATCGTGCTGCTCTTCCCGGTCGTCCTCCTCCGCCCCCTGCTGCTGCTGCTGCTGCTGCTGCTCCGCTTCCTCTTTCGTGCTCGCCGGCTTGCAGAGATGATCGCGCCCTCAGCAAGTGTGACCCCAACCTGGCCACGGGCCGTAGCTAATAGATTTGGCCGGCTGCTCGAGCATGCCTGGTCAAAAATATCACAGGAGCCTCAGGGGAAGAGAGGAGGAGGAGGGGGAGGAGGAGGAGGAAGAGGAGGAGGAGGGGGAGTGAACTGGCCATCGAGAGCGGCAAATCAATAAGCCGACCCGATCCCATTTCGATGCCGCGTTAGAGCTCCCACCGCCAAGCCACGTGCGAATGCTACTCGCAGTACTGCGCAGCAGCAAACATCATGCGAATCAAGAGCGCTGCACTACATGCCAAAGCAAGCACGCCTGAACTTGAAAATAAGCTAATCGGTATTGAACGGCAAAGCTAAGCATAAGACTGAAGCGACGACTTATCAGCGATGAGCCACACACAGCGTGGCACTAAATTGAAACCCGAGACGAGGGAGAAGGAGTCGGCAGCAGCGGCAGGCAGGCAGCGGCCCACCAGGCGAGCGAGGCGGCCAATCTCACGTCGCGGCGAGATCCTCGCGTCGGAGCTTCCGTCGTCATCGATCGATCGCACAAAATGCCGTTGCACCCCGAAGAAACCGTAACCAACCTGGAGGTGGCACAACTCTGCGTCCACCTTCATCGCTTGGGTGCCGAAGCGCACGCGGAACTCCCGCAGCCGCTGGCACTGGGCGGCAGCGCCGATGTCGTAATCCTCTGAGTGCGGACTGGTGATCGCCTCGGTGGCCTGCGAATCGAACTCGTCGGCAGGATGCTCGTCCAGCTGGTGGGCAATAGACGCAGCCGAGCACGACATAGCTTCGCTGAAGTTCTGCGACGCGCGCAGAGTGAGGTGCTCCATGATGCCGTCTGCATCGGTCACAACCTCCACGTTCATCATCGAATTGTCTGTTTGTGTGTCCACCGTGGCACAACCATCGGAGATGTCGTACAACTCGGGTATGTGTCCAATCGTCTCCTGTTCACTGGACATGCCCGTGTCGCCATCGCTGGCCGTGCTGGGCTGTGCGAAAAGCGCCAGGCTGAGCATCGAGGGAGTCGTGCTCGTAAGAATCGTCGGCCTGGGGCTCTGCGCCAGCTCGAGATCCAACTGCTCCAAGACCTCAGTGCAAGATTCCCGAATTAGGTGGCGGATGGCCGCGTACGCCAAATCCCACCAGCCCTCTGGGCGTCGGTGGTTTAGGGCGTTTCCTCTTCCACCCCTCCCTCTTCCCCTTCGGGGATGGGTTTATCCCTCCCCCTACCCCCTCCCCACTGACCTGGACAGGAGGGGCGGGGAGCGGTCAGAGCGTCCAAGATGGCCCAGGACGGCTCCAAGAGGGCCTCAGAGAGCCCAAGATCGCCTCCAAGATGGCTCAAGATAGCGCAAGATGCCCGAAGATGGTTCAGAAGACGCTCCAACACGTTCCAAGACCGCTCCAAGATGGTTCCAAGTGCCCACAAGAGCATCATTAGAGTGCCCTCAAAAGGCCGAAATGCTTCAAAATCCTACGGAAAATCAATGTTTTTGGTGTTCTCACTTTTTCGCTTCCGAAGCCCATCCGAGGCCTCAAGATGGCGCCAAGATGTCCCAACTGGGCCCCGACAGGGGCCCAAGAGAGCCTCAAGACTGCCTCAACAGCGTCCAAGAGCGCTCCAAGAGCGATCCAAGAGGGGTCCAGGAAGCGATTTTAGACAGTCTGGAGGGGCAACGCTAATTAAAACTCTGCTCTTCTTTGATACATTCGCTTGCGATGCACATCCGAGGCGTCAAGATGACTCCAAGATGGCTCAAGATAGCTCCAAGAGGGGCCCAAGAGAGCCTCAGGACGGCTCCAAGAGCGGCCACGAGCGCTCCAAGAGCGATCCAAGAGGGGTCCAGGAGACGATTTTTGGAGCTCCTGGGGGGCGAGCCAAGTTGAGGGACCCTCCTTCGTTGATCGATCTCCTCCTAAGTGGCTCCAAGAGACGTCTTGGACTCTCCTCTTGGGCCCTGCGCGCGGGCGGGCGGAGCGCCGCCCGCCCGCCCGCAAGGCCCACGAGCCCACCAAACCGTTCGAAGATACCTCCAAGACGCCACCAGGGAGGAGGAAGAGGCGGAGGAAGAGGAGGAGGAGGAGGAGGAGGAGGAGGAGGAAGAGGAGGAGGAGAGGGAGGAGGAGAGGAGGAGGAGGAGGAGGAAGAAGGCGGAGGAGAAGGAGGAAGAGGGGGAGAAGAACAGCTGCCGATCATCGGCGCTCTTCGTTCGAGTGCCTGGTGTAGGATGTTTTTTTTTTTTTTTTTTTTTTTTTTTTTTTTTTTTTTTTTTTTTTTTTTTTTTTTTTTTTTTGTTTTTTTGTTGTGTTTTTTGTTGTTGTTATTATTATTACTATTATTGTTATTATTATGCAGCCGCAGGCGGAAGCGCCAGCGGCGGGAGGTCGCGGGCGGCTGGTGGGGATACGCGAAGCGTCAAGAATTGAGCTTGTGCATCTTGTTCGCGAACTTCTTGCTGACCTTCCCCTTGCACGTGCCAAGACCCTCGCAGACAGTTGCCACGCTGGTGCCCGAAGCAGAAGCCAACGACTGCAGGGCTTGGCACGAGAATTCAGCCAGGAGCTGGACACTTAGATCGGGAGGACTGGGAGACGGTACCATAGCAGCACCTTGTACATGCGCATTCCGACACGCTCGCGAGTGAGGCATCAGGGCAAAATGCACGTGACTGGTGGGGCGCGACTGCCTCGAGCCAAAATGGCTACGGAGGAGGAGGAGGAGGAGGAGGAGAGGAGGAGAAGGAGGAGGAAGAGGAGGAGGAGGAAGGGGGAGAGGGAGAAGATGACACCACCGCATCAGTTGAAGAACCGAATCAACCACCTCCTCCTCTTGCGAGGCTCGCTGGGGCGCAGGCAGAGCTCTCAAACGGCGCGTAGCCGGACACCAGCAAGAAGTAGACAACGCCGACGCTCCACAGGTCACATGACCTGCAGTAGAAGGCGTCGAATACCTGCCGCGCGCGAGGAGGAAGTTAGCCCTCCCCGTCGCGCGGAGAGGGCCAGGGGCGGCGCCGAAAAGGCGCCGTCCTAGGGGTGCTCGGCGCCGAGTCGAGAATTCCGCGCGGACCCTCTCGAAAACCGAATCTCGTGCAGATTCTCTTCGACCGAAGCAGGGGCTGCTCTGTGCCCGCGTGCCAGCCTTAGGTCGGGCATGTTCCCCTACAGGCGGATTTTGGATGAAGAATAAAAAATATGAAAAAAACACCACAATTGCCCAAAAGTATAACAAAAATGTCCCCAGACGTTTTTTTTTTTTTTTTGTTTTTGTTTTTCCCTTTTTTTAAAAATACTATTTTTGAATATTCCTCCTGTAGAGGGACAGGCCCGACTGAGTGCCAGCCGCGCACCCCTTGCCACCCCCCCAGGGTGGCGCGGCACGGCCAGCACCGCCACCTCCGTGGGCCCCGGGCCCGCGGCGCCGCACGCTTCGGACCAATCCTCGAGCAGTCATCCCAGCTGTTTTTTTCCCTACCCTTAGGTCGGGCATGTCCCCCTACAGGCGGATGTTGGGCGAAAAATAACAGATACCCCAATCATATTCAAAAATGGTCAAACAATAATCGAAGCATCGTCCCCAGACGATTTTTACCTAACAGCGAAGACTGATAGGTTTCTAGTAGTCTCAAAAGAGAGCATCATGACTCCCCAAGGGGGTCCGGGCAGGATCAGGGGAGAATCCGCGGAAGTCGTTTTAAGCAAACAGTTACACACTTCGTGGTCTTCGAGGTCCCAGAACTCCATTCCTGGGCATGATTTTGATGCCCGGAGCCAACTGTAGGCCACTTCGTGGTCTCTGAACTCCATTCCTGGGCATGATTTTGAATGCCCGTAGCCAACTGTAGGCCGCTTCGTGGTCTTCGAGATCTCAGAATTCCATTCCTGGGCATGATTTTGAATGCCCGGAGCCAACTGTAGGCCACTTCGTGGTCTTCGAGTTCCCAGAACTCCATTCCTGGGCATGATTTTGAATGACCGGAGCCAACTGTAGGCCACTTCGTGTTTTTCGAGTTCCCAGAACTCCATTCCCGGGCCACATTTTGAATGCTGAGGCAGGCTGAGGCTGAGGCTGATGCAGGCTGAGGCTGAGGCAGGCTGAGGCTGAGGCCGAGACTGAAGGCAGACTGAGGCTGAGGCTGAAGCTGAGGCTGAGGCTGAGGCTGAGGCAGGCTGAGGCTGAGGCTGAGGCAGGCTGAGGAGGCTGAGGCTGAGGCTGAGGCTGATGCAGGCTGAGGCTGAGGCAGGCTGAGGCTGAGGCCGAGGCTGAAGGCATACTGAGGCTGAGGCTGAAGCAGGCTGAGGCTGAGGCTGAGGCAGGCTGAGGCTGAGGCTGAGGCAGGCTGATGCTGAGGCTGAGGCTGAGCTGAGGCTGAGGCTGATGCAGGCTGAGGCTGAGGCAGGCTGAGGCTGAGGCCGAGGCTGAAGGCAGACTGAGGCTGAGGCTGAAGCAGGCTGAGGCTGAGGCTGAGGCAGGCTGAGGCTGAGGCTGAGGCAGGCTGATGGCAGGCTGAGGCTGAGGCTGAGGCTGATGCAGGCTGAGGCTGAGGCAGGCTGAGGCCGCGGCCGAGGCTGAAGGCAGACTGAGGCTGAGGCTGAAGCAGGCTGAGGCTGAGGCTGAGGCAGGCTGAGGCTGAGGCTGAGGCTGAGGCTGAGGCTGAGGCTGATGCAGGCTGAGGCTGAGGCAGGCTGAGGCTGAGGCTGAAGGCAGACTGAGGCTGAGGCTGAAGCAGGCTGAGGCTGAGGCTGAGGCAGGCTGAGGCTGAGGCTGAGGCAGGCTGAGGCTGAGGCTGAGGCTGAGGCAGGCTGAGGCTGAGGCTGAGGCTGATGCAGGCTGAGGCTGAGGCAGGCTGAGGCTGAGGCCGAGGCTGAAGGCAGACTGAGGCTGAGGCTGAAGCAGGCTGAGGCTGAGGCAGAGGCAGGCTGAGGCTGAGGCTGAGGCAGGCTGATGCTGAGCAGGCTGAGGCTGAGGCTGAGGCTGATGCAGGCTGAGGCTGAGGCAGGCTGAGGCTGAGGCCGAGGCTGAAGGCAGACTGAGGCTGAGGCTGAAGCAGGCTGAGGCTGAGGCTGAGGCAGGCTGAGGCTGAGGCTGAGGCAGGCTGATGCTGAGGCAGGCTGAGGCTGAGGCTGAGGCTGATGCAGGCTGAGGCTGAGGCAGGCTGAGGCTGAGGCCGAGGCTGAAGGCAGACTGAGGCTGAGGCTGAAGCAGGCTGAGGCTGAGGCTGAGGCAGGCTGAGGCTGAGGCTGAGGCAGGCTGATGCTGAGGCAGGCTGAGGCTGAGGCTGAGGCTGATGCAGGCTGAGGCTGAGGCAGGCTGAGGCTGAGGCCGAGGCTGAAGGCAGACTGAGGCTGAGGCTGAAGCAGGCTGAGGCTGAGGCTGAGGCAGGCTGAGGCTGAGGCTGAGGCAGGCTGAGGCTGAGGCTGAGGCTGATGCAGGCTGAGGCTGAGGCAGGCTGAGGCTGAGGCCGAGGCTGAAGGCAGACTGAGGCTGAGGCTGAAGCAGGCTGAGGCTGAGGCTGAGGCAGGCTGAGGCTGAGGCTGAGGCAGGCTGATGCTGAGGCAGGCTGAGGCTGAGGCTGAGGCTGCAGGCTGAGGCTGAGGCAGGCTGAGGCTGAGGCCGAGGCTGAAGGCAGACTGAGGCTGAGGCTGAAGCAGGCTGAGGCTGAGGCTGAGGCAGGCTGAGCCTGAGGCTGAGGCAGGCTGATGCTGAGGCAGGCTGAGGCTGAGGCTGTGACTGCGACTGCCGTTGCCGCTGCGACTGCCATCGCGAATGCGACTGCGACTGCGAGAACAGCAGAATTCTACAACTGGATTCTCATCTGAATCTTAAGCGGAATGCTTCCAGATATGCTCCTACACATCGCTGTTAGGTTGCTTTGCCTGGATAATTTTGACTATTTCTGAATCTTCCTCCTTTAGAGGGACGTGCCCGACTTAACCCTACCCCGTTTGCCTTCAAGGGTCCCGAGTAGGTCTTGGGAGGCCAGCGGGGCGTTGCCGCGATCCCGAACCCGTGTGGCCCGCGGTCTCGTGGCGTGTTCCCCGGCCGTGGCTCGGGGTCTCTGGTCGTGGCTCGTGGTCCCTCGTCGTGGTCTCTGGTGTAACATGGTAAGATCGAAGAGTGCAGGACAGCATACAACATCACAGTATGGTACTGTACGGGATGCCATCGCACATGATCGTGCAGTGCAGTTTACGTCGCATGCGGTAGCATGTAGCATGATCGTTCCCTGAGCGGCTTGTATGTGCGGTATAGGGCCGTATTACGGCTAGTATGGTGATCGCTTGGTGTGGAAATCATGTGCAGTCGGACCCGAGACAGACGAACATTCTTCGAGAACATTAGACCCTACGTCGGCCCAAATAAAAAGCTTTCGAGGGTGCCCTCGCCCAGGATGCACAGAAATATCCAAGGGCTCCTAAGTTCGCGCTTCGCGCTGCGCGAAGCGCGAATAACTTCGCGCTCTCGCGCCGCCCCCCCCAAAGGGAGAAAAGGAGGACGAGGAGGAGGGGGAGGAGAAACGAGGACCGCGAAGCGCGAATAACTTCGCGCCCTCGGGGGAGCCCTTGAATATCCAGCACACTTTTTCCGCCGCGGCGCGGCAGGAGGCAATCCGCTCGCGTGTCCGAGCAGCCCCGGCTACGGCGTTGCGAAGAACATCCAAGGGTGCCCTCCCCAAGGTTCGGGGATGGACAGAACCCCCTTTAGCAAAACGTGGTTTAGTGAAAACGACCTCGGGCCCAAACCCGGCGGGCGCAAGCCTGGAAAATAACGGCCACGGCGCCCTCTCGAGAACCGAAAACGGACAATTCACTAATCGACGTGTCACTATTGGGGGTTCTGTCCAGCCCCGAAAGGTGCACAAGACCTACACCTCGCGGTCCGACTGCACCCTCGTACTTTGGACAAGCTACCCAAGGTCTTCTGCCGCCATGGGTGTGTGGTTCGAGCTGCGTGCAGCTGCAGCGGCGAGACCCTCCCGAACAACGCCCACAATAAGCCTCCGATGCGAGGGCGCCGCCCTCGCCCCCCAAGAGCTCTGCGGTCAGCGGCTCGCCCTGCCTCGATGCGCGCCTACCTGAAGACGAAGCCAGGACGAAGATCAAATCGGGTGAGGATACAGCGAGAATCTCTGAGATCTGGCGACTCTGGAAGATGTCTCGGGCGCCGCGGCTTTCTCAGAGCGTTCTGGATCGCTCTGAAAGCGTTCGGGAACGCTCTGGAGCGGATTTATCCTCATCCTGGCCTCGGCCGATATCTCCTCCCGCACGTGAGATGCCTCCCGCTGCAGCGATCGGCGCGACCTGGCGTCTGGAAGGGGGCGTCCCAGAGGAGGGTTCGCAGATCGTGGCCAGAGGCATGTGCGCGGACGAGGGGGGGTGGGGCAAGCGAGGTAGTTAAAGAAGTAAGATGGGGCCATGACATCCGGGGAGACACCATGGCCTGGCCACGATCTCCACCCCCCTGTAATTAGTCACCGCCCCCCCTCCTCTCTTGGCCGCCCCTGGCCTCTCTGCTGCCCGTCTGCGCGCCGAAGCCCGGTCCCGCGCTGCCGAGCACCCCGTGGAGCTTGGTCGTGGCACGTTTTTCAAGCCACCTCCCCAACCTCGCCCTCCTCCACCTCCTGCTCCTCCCCCTCCTTCCCCTCCCCCTCCCCTTCCTCCTCCTCCTCGTCCCCCTCCTTCTCCTCCATCCTCTCCCCATCACAACGTCGGATGTCTGGGAGGTAGGAACCTCTGAAACCCGGCGGGGCCTGGAGGATGTACCTCTGGTGCGCCGAAGAAGGAGGGAGGGGGGGGGTACCGGCGCATCATGGCCCGGCGCATCATGGCGCGGACGAGAGGGAAGCCATGGGACACATGGATACAGGAGAAGAAAGGGCACAACCTGCTTCTCCCCTCTTCCTCCTCCGCTGGCCCAGGATCGGGGGCGCGCAAACATGGATTAGCGATCCAT